AAAAAAAAAAAAAAAAAAAAAAGGAAAACAAGAAAATGATGGATATGTTGGGAATTTTCTCCCCTGAGAGAGGAATGACCACATTAGCAGATTTAGTTATTGTCAAGGTCCTAGCTTTCAGAATGATGATGATGAGTTGTTGTGACAGTACTATAAGTAAACAAATGTGTGCTATGTATGGCTGCAATGATCAGAGTGTGTCATGAACCAAGGTTATGATTAATGTAGTTCTGTGTTCCTAAGGTCCATTAAAAGACAGGGAAAGAAATTATGCCTGCCCATAATTATGCTGCCCATATAGCCTTACTTGTTGGAAATGATAGGGAAAAGATTCTTCTCCCTATACTCTCTGTGACTTTTCTCCAGGAGAGTCAAGTTGGTGACCAGAACTGGGACAACAGGGAGGGAGTAATTGAAAATTTAGCTACCTCAGGATTTTGGATTAGACAGAGGGGAGTAAAGGGAGGAGATGGGGCATGGGGGTAGGAATGATAATATAATGAATCAGACATTGTTATCCTATATGCATATATAGGATATATAATTACGTGATCAGGTCATGTAATCATCATGTATAATCAGATGAATGAGAGTTATACTCCATTTATGTATATTGTGTCAAAATGCATTCTACTGTCATGTATAACTAACTAGAACAACAACAACAAAAAGATTTAGCTACCTCAGGATATGGGTACTGAAATCTGTGGGAAAATGGCCCCATCCAGAGGCTGGAAAAGGAACATGGTGATGTGGGTCAGCTTCTAATTACACTTACCTTCCCCCACTCTCTTAAGAACTGCAGGGTGCAAAATCTCCCACCCATTTCCTGTGCCTGATTCAGGGTGGGGTTGGGAGGAACTACAGAGGTGTGTCCTGAGAAAATGGAACTCTGGTTACATGGATAACAATTGTAGACAACTGTAAACATTAGGGATACTAGGAAACCAGGGCAAAACAGCAAGGGCAAAACAAACATCTTTGAAATCTCGCTTGGAAATAGGCCCCTGACTCAAAACTCCATTTTTGCATTGTCTTCCTTTCTGCCTAGCCCAGAGTATACCTGGGCCACCTTCAGAATCTCTGGTCCCTATATCCTTCCCCTTCCCCTCTTCCAGGATATAACTCCAAACCCACCTTCTTGTCTACTTCTACCAATTCCCAAGATAAGGCCCTACTAAGTGAAAGAGGGCTGGGGGTGGGGGGGTGGGGAGAGATCCTGGGAAGGCTGCTTAGTTTTTTGTTTTTGTTTTTTTTTTTTGAGAGAGAGAGAGAGAGAGAATTTTTAATATTTACTTTTTTTGGTTTTTGGCGGACACAACATCTTTGTTTGTATGTGGTGCTGAGGATCTAACCTGGGCCGCACACATCCCCAGCCCGGCTGCTTAGTTTTTCATCTTAGGGAAAGTGGCTTGAGGGGGCTGGGGATGTGGCTCAAGCAGTAGCACACTCTCCTGGCATACATGCCAGGAGATCCTCAGCACCACATACAAACAAAGATGTTGTATCCTCCGAAAACTAAAAAATAAATATTAAAAAAAAAAGAAAAAGAAAAAGAAAGAAAGTGGCTTGAGGAAGGGGCTGACTGGAGTCCTCCCTTTGAAGACAGGTTAGAAGTCAGGCTGGGCTGGACTGAAGCTATCAAAAGAGCTGGAGGGTGTGCTGGACTAGATGAGAGTACTAGGAAAGTGGGTGGAGGTCAGGCAGTATGGACTAGACCAGGAAACATAGGGAGGGAGCTGGGGTCAGGCTGAGCTGGACATCCGGTAGAAGGGAAAGAAGTTTGGAGTTGGGTTCTAGGCCAAGACTTTTAGGCTTCAGGGACCCTGGCTAAGGTTCACAGTCTGAGACAAGTTTTTCAGTGGCAAGCTGGGGCCTGTACGAGAATGGGCCCATGCCTGCACCTGGAAATAGAGAGCATGAGGGCCTTGGAGGGTTTCTTCCTCCCTTTACCCCATCAATTACTCTTCACCAGGAGCTTTCCCTACAGGGCCCACTGGGAGAAAATGAGGAGCCAGATCTGGAGCTCCAGAGGAAGTTGCTAGCCACTGTGTTTCCTGAGTTTAAATAGTGGGTTCCTCTGTCTCTCTAGCCAACTCTCTTTCCTGAAACAGGGCAGGGCAATCTACCTTTTCCAATGACTACCCCCTACAAATACACATACAGGATGTGAACCTGGAAATGCCCAGCCCAGTCACACAACTACTTCCCCAGTGGCCAATAACCCAACACAGTCTGACTGCCGAGCAACACATTAAACAATGCATCCTCTTGTACTTAAAGCCTTTCCTCTGCCTTGTTCAATATCATACCCCCCAGTATCTAGAATTAGGCCTGGTGTGTGTGTGTGTGTGTATGTATGTATGTATATGTATATATATATATATATAGATAGATAGATATAGATATATAGATAGATATAGATAGAGCGCTTAAAATACTAAGCAATTGCATAAATTTAGCATCTACATAAACACACATAGAGGCATGCCCACATATACATTCTGACATGTATACCCTGTTAGATGAAAGCAGGCCCTCACCCACCTCAGTAGTCATGAACATACATACACTGGCACACATTCAGAACAAAAGGCCAGCTGTGCTCCCAATGACATGGACCCACTGCAGTGTTACCTGGCACTCTTAGGGTGAGTTGGTGGTAGCATCTGGCTGGTCAATGTCCTTGCCAGGCCAGGTTTAGAGGAGGATGTATGTGAAAATGCAGTTCTTTGGTACCAAGGCACTGGGGATATGAGAAGTTGGGCTGGCAGCAGGGTAGGACCAAGGTAACTGTACAGGTTAGAGGATGGGGGGTAGCCAGGCAGTCCTTTCCTCCACTGTATTCCCACCAGATGGAGAGGTGAGGTGGAGGTGCAGGTCTATCAGGATCTGCTTCAGATTCAGAGACCTTAGTGATAGAATGGTCTAAAGTCTCAGCTACCTGCCTGGGATGAAAATGAAGGATACTGGCTAGGGGACTTAATATATGCTAATGCTTTTTTTTTTTTTTTTCCCCAGTACTAGGTATCCACATTTTTATTATCTTGAGACAGGGTATACTAAGTGGCTCAGCTGGCCTAGACCTTGAAATCCTCCTACCTCAGTCTCCAGAGTAGTGGGGATTACAGGCATGTGCCACCATGCCTAGCCTTGGCAACGGCATTTAATGGTGTAGAGAGGGGACTTGGAAAGAGTAGCACTACCTGCTAGAGTCTGAAAAGGGCTCTATTTCTCCTCCATATAGGTGTCCTCCTCCCTCAGTGCCCACATTAAAAGTCAACAATAGCAAACAATCCTGTTCCTCTCAATCTCCTATCCAGGGACCTCAGCATCAGGGGACTAGTTTAGATCTCAGATCTGCTGCTATGCTGGGGGTGGGTAGAGACAGAAAATAGGAAGGCACAGTTCAGGAACAATAACCACCCCAAGGGGCTGGGGATGTGGCTCAAGTGGTAGCACGCTCGCCTGGCATGCGTGCGGCCCGGGTTTGATCCTCAGCACCACATACAAACAAAGATGTTGTGTCCGCTGAAAACTAAAAAATAAAAATATTTAAAAAACCACCCCAAGATCCTCCAACCCAAGACCCCTTCTAGGCAAGGACCTTTTCCCCACCCCTCCCTCAACAGTCTAACCTTGGGCTCTATCCCCAGGAACCCTGCCTCAGGAAGACCACCTATCTGACAACCTCATGATAGCTAGGGGTAAGGGACAACAGTTGGGAGGGCAGGGGTGAAGTTAACTTCTAAGGAAGATGGGGCCAGGCTGGAATACCTGAGGATACATTTTGGGGTTACGGTAAAGGATATGTATGACTCAGGGTAACAACTCCATAGATTGAGGGAAAATGTGTCCCATTCATAACCTTTCTCTCAAATATTCTTAGGAAAGATTGTTTTGAACTGAATCATTAATATGCATCAATAACCAACCAGGACACTCTCAAACCAAAAAGTCTGTTTATTGATCGGTACCATACATGACTCAAATGGCCCAAAAAAAAAAAAAAAAAAAAGGCATTACAGTCGGGGTGGGACATCCACCTTCCTCACCCCTTCCCTCAGCTCCTGACATAGAACCCTCCCCAAAGTGGCAGTTGGAGTGAAGGAAACAGGGCACGGGAACTCCATAATCCAGAGGGAAGAGTGAGGAGAGAGGTGGCGCTGAAACTTCCTGGGACTGGCCACAGGAAAAGGCAGCAAAACCAGGATCTGGGTGGGACCCTTGCCCTAATCCTCCATACGTCCAAGTGTGAATAGGAGCTGAGGATCCTGGCTGCCCCCTCCTCCCTTCTATAAGGAAGGGGAGGTGTTGGGAGATGACCCTCTACCTCAGCTTGGAGACGGAGGCCTTTCTCCTTGGTGGGCTTAGAGCTGGGATATATCCTTAATGGCTCCTTCCCCTCTGAGGGGAGGTTAGGATGAGATATGCAGTTTGAGGGATCAGGGTAAGACAAGAGGGTTCTGGTGAAGAGTGGATAAGCCCCTCTCCCATCCCATGCCTGCCCAAGGGAGACAAAACAAAAAATACAGTGACAAACAAGGCTGTTCCCTTCCCTCCATATTCCCTGAGGAAGGGAGCCTCCCCTCCCCTCATCCAAATCAGCTGCTCTAGTGGAGAACTGGTAAAAATACACACCATGGATGGGGTGGGGTAGGACAGAGGGAGTCACAAGCACTGGAGGGCAGGCTAGAGTCCTGGAGGATGGGGAGACAGAGACAACAGCAGGGGGTTGTCAAAAGATGTGGCCATCTATGCCCCACCCCCACCCATGGCATGCCTTCCCCAACTCCAGTCACCCCAGAGGAAAAGGGAAGAGAGATGGCAAAGTGTCTCCTTGGTCTGAAGCTCTTGAACTATATAAAATGGTATGCATACCTCCACCCATACTCTTACCTCCACCTAGGCCCTAGGCTTGCCCATCTACCAGGAGGAGGGAGGTAGCTAGACTTTAATAAGGGGAAGAGGGGGAACATGAGTGATTTTTTTTTTTAAACTTACATTTTTAATAATATTATTCTTTAAAAAACTTGTTGGAGCTGGGATAAGTGGCAGAAAGGAACAAGGAGCCCAGAGCTTCACCCCTCTAATACCAGCCACCTAGGGGAAGGGGCATTCAACCAAGCCCCATGACCTTAACCCCTAAGGGCTGTGGGTATGGACAGCCCCAGTCTTGAAGGAGATAAGCCAGGACAATGGGGAACCCAGAACTTGGGGTAAAGATGGAGGCAAATGCCCTGGGGGTATGGTCAAGACATTTCTCAGAGGTCCAGGGTCCACGTAGGCATCCACATGAGTAACCCCTTCCCCCAAAAGGCTCTGCAGGGGCCAGGCCCAGCCCAGGGCCACTGGGGGGCACATCTTGGCACCTGCCCCCAGCGAGTCCAGTTCCTCCCTGAAGTGGGTGGATGGAGGCTGCCCATTTTAGATGCTCAGTCTCTTCTTCTGTCTTCTGCTCCCTGGGGCTACGAGGGGTGGGGCAGGCAGGCAGAGCACTGGGTGACCGTGGCAGGGCCTTTATTGGGAGGCCTGTGACGTGGGGTTCTCCGATTTGCTTTCTTGGCTGGACGGAGGCTTGCTGTTCCAAGGGCTGTTGGCGCCCAGTGCAGGGGAGTTGTTAAAGCTGTCCTCGTCGTCAATGCCGTTGGCCGCGTCAAACTGGGTGTTCTCCAGCCGGGTGATGAGCCTCTCGTCCTCGTCCCCGAACTCCCCGCCCATCAGGGTGGGCTCCCCCACCACCATCACATCCTGAGAGTGGCGGAGGTCCCCAAACATAATCGGGGCAGGGGCTCGCCCGGCCCAGGGCAGCATATACCCCCAGAACCCCCATGCCCACCCTGGAAGTTCAACACACCCCACCCCCTCCTCAAACCCAAGTTTAAAAACCCAATTCCTCTGACACCCTCAGCTCCTGGAATCCTTCCCACCAGAGCATCAAAGCCTTTAGCCCATATTCATCAGATTCCAGCAGAAACATCAATCTCTTAGCTTCCTAATTCATCTCCCCCAGAATTTAAGGGGACTCCTAAACTTCTTTTCACATGTAAGAGGAAGCAGATCAAAAACATGAGGGAAATGTGTGTGTGTACATATGCATGTGTGTGTATTTTAGATCTGCAAACATTCAAGTCTGTGTGTCCCTCTATCAGTGTGAGTATATATTTCTGATAGTGTGTGTCCCAAGCTGTCTGCCCTGAATGTCCATGTTTTCAAGGCTATCACCATTCCTGTATGTTCCATGTGCCTGTGGCTGACTCTGTGTGATCACCACCATGCATGTGCCTGCAAGGATTCTCTCATCAGTGAAAGGAGTCAGTTCATGCTGGCAAAATATATGGTAAAAATATATTTGCTTCTATGCCTGCTATTGAGCTCAAGCTTGGACAGGGGTCAAGGGTGAGTGGTGGGGCAGCCCAGAAGAGAGAAGAAAGCCGAGATGCTTACAGGTACCTGGCTGGAGAGGGCGAAGGTGCTGGCTGGGCTCTTCTTCTTACTGTTGCTGTTGTTAGTGTTGCCACCCCCCGAACTCATAGTGCTGCCCCCTGACATCTTCCGTTTCCGCCGTTTGCTGGGCTGTTGCCGTGCAGGCTCCGCTGTGTCAGGGAAAGGAGACTCAGGTGGGAGAGGGCTCTGGGAGCCCCTGTCCTCCATTGTGGCTACTCAAGAGACTGAGCCAATACTGTCCCCAATCTTGTAGACCCAAGAGCAAGGAAGGACCAGAGGGAACTTCATAAGGAGATAAAGATACAGTCTTGGGAACTTGTGTTAGGACATGATAAGAGCAGGTACAAGCCACTCACCGGGGGGTGCTACCATGCGCTGCCACTTCTGGAAAAGGCAGGTCTTGAGGCAGTCTCGGGGACTGAGGCTGTAGGTCTTGTGGCGGGACATGAGCTCCTGCATGGGCTCAAGTATCACACAGAGCTGGGGGTAGACCAGAAGGTAGCTGTCAGGGGAAAAGACATGGAACCCAGATCAAATGGATGGGGCAGAAACAGGGTGATCAGAGACTCACTCGGAGGTAGTTGAGAGTGGAATTGGATAATCCACACCGGGTGATATTTTTAGAGAGCTGATCCAACATCTGGGGGTCCTGGGCCTAGAGGAGAGAAAGATAAGAATACTGGTTTTGGGGTTGCATCTGCTCACTGGCCCTATCATCTGAGCATTGATAATATTCCTGAGAGAAAACAGGGGCTAGCATTACACCAGTTTTTTTTTTTTTTTTTTTTTTAATTCCTTTATTTTACTTACTTATTTTTATGTAGTACTGAGGATTGAACCCAGAGCCTCACACATGCTAGGTAAGCATTCTAACCACTGAGCCACAACCCCAGCCCCTAAACCCATTTTTTTTAAAATATTCATTTTATAGTTGGACACAATACCTCTATTTCACTCATTTATTTTTTTACGTGGTGCTGAGGATGGAACCCAGGGTCCCGTGCGTGTGAGACGAGTGCTCTTACCGCTGAGCCACAACCCCAGCCCTAAACCCATTTTTTAAGGTACCTCTAAGGCCACAGCCAGGACATGGCAGACCCTGTTCCACCCTTCCTGCTGCCTGCTTTCCCCCTTGCATCTTGTCCTGCCCACAACTCACATGCATGGCAAGGATGCTCCGGGGGATGAGCTCTCGGTGCTGCCGAATGCTGAAGTGCCATGTCTTTATCCGCATCATGTCATCAAACATGAATTCCAGGTACAACCGGCCCTCCACACACACCTGGGGACAGGCTTGTCACAACCTTGTCCCATCCCCATATACAAGAAAATGTGCCTGTTACAGTTCTCCTGTTTGTTCACAACTATATATATACATATACACATTTATGTTACCTGCATAAATCTGGGTGTATAACTGTCACAGCAACCCCCTATCCCATATACATATCACACCTGGCCTTCACACACACACACAGTAAGAAAGTATAAGAGATCCTTGTCCTTTCCCCATACAACCAGTAATACACCTATCAGCTATAAGCTTTATGAGGGCAGGTTCTTGTTCACTGTTTAACTTTGGGACCCCCAAAAATATCATATACAAAGCTGATAAATGTTTGCTGAATGCTGCAGCATGCCCGCTTTCCCTTCTCATTTTTGCCATTTCCATTATGCCTACCTGGTGAACAGCTGTGAGTACGTGTTGGAAGAAAGGAAATCAAACCCAAAGACCCCAGTGTTCCACATCCTACTGGGTTGCTAACCTGGGTAAACATGGGTTTGCCGTGCTGGGTCACCATGCTGCCCTGGTCACAGTCGAGGGACACAAAGTTGCTGTGGAATGCCTCCTTGGGATGCTTAAGCACATAATACAGCTCCGTAGCACCCCCCTCAAAAATGCTGCGGAAGTAGCGTGGGATCAAGGTCCGGCCAATGGCTGTAGAGATGGGACAAACTTCAGGACTGAGGGACTTCAAAAAAGATCAGGCAGATGCTTCCCCTGCCAAGACAGACCCCTTGGCATTTCCAGGCTTAGAATACACAGGAGATAAACACTCTCACAGCAAGAACCCCAAGGCCACTCACTGTATCTCTTTGGTCCATCCTCCAGGCAGAAAGTGATGGTCAACATGGCATCATCCTCAAAGAACTCAGTCGTGAAAGCATCCCACCAGAGATTGTCGCACTCCTAGGGAGCACAGGGAAGGGTGTGTGTATAAGTGTCATAAAATACTCCAGGGGTGCCCAGATGGACCTTCTACTCTCAGTCTCTTTTCCCTTTGTCATACCTCTGTCCAGTTCTGAAGCCGTTTGTTAAGCTCGAATATTCTGTAGTCAGTTTGGTTACCATATGGTGTGTGCCTCCTGGGGAAGTGAAGGGAAGTCAGTAGGAGCAGAGTCATACTATCCCCCACTTCTCCCTTCCTGATAAAGTCTACTTACCCAATCCCAGGTTCCAGGTATGTAGGTGGGTACATGGGAGTTGGGCTGTGTAAGGGAAGAGGCTATGAGAATGGGGGTGGAAGACAGGAATTACTGAGGTGGGGGAGTCCACTCCCTCCCCTTTATAGGCAGGCTCCCATCTAAAGAAAGGTTAGGAAATTGGCAAGGGACTCACCCCACATCCCGATCCAGCATGGTGCCGGGATGAAAGGGAGGGAAGGCGTTGCCGTTCGGGGGCTCCTTCGGTGAGTACAGCTTGAATGACTTTGAGGAACAACCTAAGAAAGAGAAAGGAAGAACCCCTTGAACCACTCCTGGGAGATGTCCTGGAAGCCTGCTGGATCATGTGGAAAGGGACTATCTTTTGGACCCCTCTGCCCAGGTTACTGTGAATGGTGAACTGGTGTAGGGACTACTCTAGGGAGCACCTATCATTTTAATATGGCTCCAGCCTTGTTTAATTAAGAAGCTGGGAGGCTGGGGTATAGCTCACTGATAGAGTGTTTGCCTAGCAAACACTGGGTTCGGCCTGGCACCGTGGCAGATGCCTGTATTCCTAGTAATTTAGGAGGCTGAGGCAGGAGAATCCCAAGTTTGAGGTCAGCCTCAGCAACCTAGCAGGCCCTTTCTCAAAATAAAAAATAAGAAAAAGGCCTAGAGATGTTAGCTAGTGATAAAGCATCTCTGGATTCAATCTCAGTACAAAAAAAAAGAAAAGGAAAAACAAAACAAAACAAAAAAAAAACCCTAAAATAAAGAAACCAGGATTATTCAGCCTAATCCCAGCCCATATTCAATCTGCATCATTTTTTCATTTGGCTGAGCCCTGAATAGCAGAAGAGAAACTGAAGCTGGGAAAAAATGTTAATATCAGAATAAGTAAATATCTAAATATTAAATCCCAGCTATTCAGAAGGCTGAGGCAGAAGGATCTCAAATTTGAGGCCAGCCCATGCAACTTAGCAAGATTGTGTCTCAAAATAAAAAATGTTAGGGATGTAGCTCAGTAGTAAAGTGTCCCTGAGTTCAATTCTCCAGTGTTTGGAAAAAAAAAAAGAAAGAAAGAAACACTAGAATTTAATTTTGATAACTCCCTTTTTATCTACATAGTTTCATTCAATCATCACAACAACCTAGCAAGGTAGTAGAGTTAACAGTAAAATTCCAATTCTACAGATGAAGCAACTGAAGGCTCAAAGGTACTTGCCAAGATCATGAGGATAATATAATAATAAGCCAAGACCTGAGCCCAGATATTCTGATTTCCATATCCTATGCTATTTGTATGATCTGATCCCTTTATTGCCCTCTAGAGAGAGACCAAGACTTGAGGGGAGAAGGGACTTTTGGGAACTCTCTGCCCCTCCTCCATCCCCAGGATCCCAGGAGGGTAGGGGATAGAAAGATAAAGGGGGGTTGCCTGTTGAGTGTTACCCACCAGATAACCAGTTGGACCTTCTCCTTCCCCATCAGCCACTCCTTATCAGCCCAGCCCCCACACCCACCATGGGTAGAGTATTGTCTCCCAAGGAGACACCCAAAGCCTCAACCCCTTCTCTCTTGAGACTTGTAGTGGGGGAGGGAAGCAGATGAGCCTCCACACTACTTAGGAATGGAACACAGGAGGCCTGGTAAGGAGCGTGGGTTCCAGAAGGCTCAGTCTAGGAGGCAAATGGTAACTTTAAAAAAAAAAAAAAAGGTCTCTCATATATCTGGGCATGTACACATGGTAGCCACTCTTCCACCTCATCTAGCAGCATAAATAGTTGCTGGCATACTATTTCCTGACTGTAAGTGTTAAATTCGTAGTTGGGTAGGTAACCAGGTAACCATACAACTCTACTCTTCCCCCGCCTCACCACATGTGAAACTGAAGCATAGCCCCAAAGGTTCTAGCCTTGGTCATATTAACTTTCTTAGGTCCCCAAAACTTGATGACATTTGGAAAGTCAGTTGTATTCGATTTAAATACAATGTTCCTTGGGGGGGGGGGGAGAGACAAAGGAAGACCCTGTGCCAACATGTGTCATTTAATTCTCTCCCCAAGGGCCCCTTCTCATAATGTGGGCAAAAGAAGGGTCCCACAGGGGCCCAGAATGCACAGTCCCCTGAAGGTGCCAAGAGTCAGAGCCTGTGTGTGCCTTCACACATGTGAGCCTCCATCCTGCCTAGCAGGCTTCCACCCTCAACTCGTCCCAACATGCCCACCAAGGCTGGAACCCAGCAGCCCCAGGTAGGATCAGGGTGCCCACAACAGGCCCTCACCCCATGCGAGCTCTCATGGACCATATCCACATGATACAAACAGCACACACTGCCTCTGCATGCCAGTGTTGTACTAAGCCTGTGTTTCAGGAAAGAGTCCCTACTCAGCCCCCAAGACTCTCAACTCTACAGACAGGTAAACTAAGACAATACAGGAAGCCCAGGCTCATGAAATCCACCAGATACCAAGGCCTGGGCAATGAACCCAAGAGTCTAGATTCTCAGGACTGGCCCCCATCTCCTAATTTGGCCATCCTTTCCTCAAAAGCAGAACTACCCTTGCCCCTTTAGTTTCAGTGCCACTTTTTTGAAATGCACCAGTTCAAGAACCTGCAGAGAAGGGTAGCAGAACCCCTGGGTTCCACTCCAATTTCAAAAAAAGTCTCAGAGCCTTAGTTTCTCTCTCTAGAGAAAGAATAGGCATTTCCTGGAATTGGGTAATAGTTCTGAGGAGCTGAAGCTCATTGCTCTGGAGCCTCTATTTACACCTCCAGTGAATGGACACAAACAAATTCAGCATCTCTCCAGAGCCACAGCAACTCCCAGTAGACCCAGCACAAGGGGATGGGAGTGAGAGAAGGGGAGGGACCGTCGCCCAGACCATCTGTCCCTGTTGCTGCCTGTCCCCAGCAGCAGGAGTAGAGGGAGAAAGGTGGGGGTGAAGGGAATGTGTCATCCTGCTCTGAACTCGGATACCCCATTCCCAGCAAACTGGGAGCCTTCAGGAAGGAGAAGGGAATAAGAGTCCAGAACTAGCAAAGTTTTCTCAGAATGGAAGCTGCATCCTGGGGCTGTAGAGGGTACCTCCAGCGGGGCATTCCCATGGTAACCAGTATGACCCGGGAGCAGGCCCCCTCCTTTTGGGGGCTGACCACAGGTCAGCAGGCCAGCAGTCCCGGGCTCTCTGATCTGGGGCACCTCTCCCCAGGCCTGGGCCAGAGAGAGGGCCTTGCACCCACCCCCAACAAGCTTGCAGGGTGCCCAGACTTACCTGGGAGAACTGAGGGGGCCAGGTGAGGTGCGGGGAGCGTCTGGAAGCCCAGAGGGTCCCAGGCGGGGGTGAGGACTGAGGTGGGATCAACTTCAGCCGCTCATGTCCCGAGTGGGACAGGCGGGCCTGGCTGGGAGCTCCACTCCGCCGGCCGCACAAAGACTCGCACGCACAGCCTCCGCCAGCCCCGTGGCGGCCACAGCCCCGGGGGAAAGTTACAATGGCCACTGGGCCAGGGGACGGAGGCCAGGGGGCTGGCCTGGGGGGCGGGGGGCAGCAGGGAGTCCGGAGCCTTCTTTGTTTGCAAGGTTTCCCTCAACAATGGCTGCTCCGCTCTTTCCTCTCTACTCCTCCTCCTCCTCCTCCTCGGCTCTCTCCGCCGCCGCCTCTCGCTGCCTCTGCCTCCAAGCAGCCCGCCCGCCCTCCCCAGGCCACCCAACCCCTCTGCTGGGGGAAGCAGGAGAGGCAGAGCCCAGCACTCACACTCACTCACACTCGCACACTCAGACACACGCAGCGCCCGCCGGCTCCTTCCTTTCTCCCTTTCTCTCCCTCCTCCTCCCTCTCCTCCCCGCTCGCTCTCTGAGCCTCTCTCCGAATGAGGCCCCAGGGCGGGCGGAGGGTGGAGCTGCCCCGCCGGCCCCGCCCCCTCCCTGAGAGCGAGGAGGAAGAGCGAGGAGAGAGGGAGGAGGGACTGCTGAGAAAAACAAAAGAGAGACGGAGATCGGAGACTGGGGACCGAACCGACCGGCCTGGGAGAGACCTGGATGGCGAGGAGACCTGCAGGGCCAGCAGCAAAATGCACTCTACTAGCCCCAAGCGTGGTTCTCAGGAGTGGGCAGGGGTGCCCAGGCTTCAGACAGAGATGGAGGAGGATGCTGGCCTCTCTACAGACTTTCAATATTTTCAACCCGCCTGCCAAACCTCCCCCAAATCTCTCTTGCTCACCCCTGTGATCTCTCAGGTTGAAGACTAGCCTGGGCTTCCACCCTGGGCTCCTCGGATGAAATCCCAGAGCAGCTGGGGGAGGCCCCGGGGGTTATTTTTGACAGAGACACATTCTGACTTCAGACTATACACACTGATTGAAGGAAGGGGCGTGGGGGGGGCACTCTAGGCTTCCCTGCTCTCAACCCAGATAGGTTCCAACCCCTGGCTTAGATCCCTTAACAGGAATCACCCTTCCCCACCACCACCCTTGAAACCACATGGGTGTTAGTAAAAGACATTGTCAGGAGCTAGGGAAGGCAAACTTGCTCATCCCAGTGTCTCCAGAAGGGGCTGCTAACTCCTCCCCACCATCCCAGATCTAAAAAGTATGTGATTAATGGAGGTGGAGTCTGTTCTCTAGTCCCACAGGAGGTATCCCAAGGAAGGAGTCACTTCTGAAACTTGGATAGCCATTTAGGCCCTATTACCTAGACAGATAGGAAAAAGTCAATCTTTCTCTCTCCCTCCCCCCACAGAGAGAGGGAGCTCCTACTTTCATTCTTTGCAATTTTCATGTTTTCTCTACTTCCCACCTCTCCCAACTATATTCACATATAATCCCAAGGACTAGATTTCTTATGACACACTGGTTGACTGCAGTAATATTGTACCTGGCTCTGTGAACATCCTCCACACATAAATAACATCTCCCACTTTCACATAAATTAGTACCTAATACACACTTTAACCTGTCATACACCTTAAATCCTAAATATACCAAAACCCTGGACACAGACATGCAGATTCATATAGAGTCTGACCCCAATATACACACCAACACTGGGTTATACCCCTTAAGCCTGTGACTATCACACACAGAGCAGCTGGCAGGGGTGGGGGTGGGGGACTTCAGGGTTGTTTGTTGTTGTTTGAACTCACAATTCTACTGCCTCAGCCTTCCAAGTGGCTGGGATCACAGGTGTGCAACACTGCAACCAGCCAGGGGGATATTTTTAATGAATGTTTGTTATTCAGGGACTTACCCATAAATGGGTTCCCTGAAATCTGCAAACCATTCCCCAATGCAGCCTGGCCATGATACATCCTAGCTTTCACAAACATTGAAATCTGTAACATTTAACCAGACCCTGTGACATATAGCCTACCACCTTGACTTAAGACATCCCTACTGACTTCCAATCTAATTCTAAAATAGCCACATTCCTCCCTTACTGACAGGACAATTCCTGTAATTTGTTTCCTGCCTTATTTATTTGTTTATTTATTTGGTACTGGAGATTGAACCCAGGGTCTTTTAACCACTGAGCTACATCCACAGCCCTTTTTATTTTGAGACAGGGTCTCAGTAAGTCGATGAGGCTGGCTTTGAACTTGGGATCCTTCTGCTTTATCCTCCTGAGTCGCTGGAATTGTAGGTGTGTGCCACTGTTTCCTACCTTTAAACTTTCCAAAATGCTCTGACAGGCAGTATCTAAAGTAATCCTTACAGCATACACGAACACACTGTCAAAATCCTATCTTGAATAGACCACAGTGAGACAGGAGGACCCGATGTTGGAATCCTGGACTTCTAACTCCACTTGATACAAGTTGAGTCTTGGGGCATTGTAGCTATTTCTATTCCCTTCCCCCTCCAGGCTTCAAATGACTGTCCACATGGGGAGGGAGAAGGGGTCAGTGCTCTAGCTTCTGCCCTCAGTCCATAGCTCAGAACCGGTACCCAGAATGTCTCCTCAGAGAGAAGCCACATGAGCCTGCCCTCTCACTGTGAGGAAGGGCCCCTAAATGCTAAGACACTTCAAGACTCTGGCAAATCATTCAAAACAGGTTCTCTCCCAGTTCCCCTTCTCCAGCGAGTCTGCTCCTGCTCTGACACCGCCCCTCATTCCCACCCTCACACACTGGGCAGAAGAGGTCCAGCTAAAGGGATCAAATCTGAGTTAAAACCACCTAAAATTGGTAGTGGTGGGAGCAGCAAAGAATGACAAAGGTGATGAAGGAGAGAAGCTGGAGAGTACTCCTACTGGAGGGGGACTCAAAGGACAGTAGCCAGGCCCCAGCCCACAGAATGAGGGGTACTAGCACTGCCCCCTGCCCAGGCCCCTGACCCAGGCCTCCAGTGTGCCTGCCCCCCTTCCTTTGTCTGTGCCCGGCCTCCCGTTGGCCTGGCACTCTGCCATCCTCCTCTCCTGGCTTCCAGCCGCCACCACTGCTGCCTCCTCCCCTCCCCCTACTCCTCCCAGCCTTAACCCTTCTGAGCCACATGCTGCCCCAGACAGGCCTGGCTCCCTAGCATCCTGCCCAGGGAGATGCCCTTTAGCAGGGCTTCTCCCCGCTTCTGGTAATTTCAGCCCCAGAAGCTGTTCTCTACCCCAACAGTACTATGGGAACTGGGGGTGTGTATATGTGTGTATCTTGTGGTGTTTCCGCATGTGCATGTGTGTGGGTCTGCGTGCTCTGGCTTCCTTCAGTCACATGTGTGGGGCATGTGCTGTCTCTGCTGGGCTGGGGGAGGAGGAGGAGCCGGGAGACAGCAGAGCACAAAGGAGAGACTCAGACAGGCAAGGAGACAGGCAGCAGGAGGCCTACCAGGGCGCCTGGGCCCTCACCCCAGGGCTGTTCAAAGTGGTGGTGGGGGTCTTTGGGCCTAAACTGCCTCCTGCTGCCAGGATGCTCTTATGTTTAAGCATGTGCTCTCCCATCCACCCATGCAAGCTTGGTTCCCTCTCTTACTCAAATTCCTACCATTCTCCACCTCCAGGCCTACCCTCAAGCCCCTCCCCACGTGGTTCTCCTTGAAGTCTAACCTCCATCCACAATCTACTTCACAAACAGGAAGATGACTCCCTACTGTCAGCCATGTTTTTGCCCCACTCCATCAGCCAGGCCATCAGACACACAAAAGGAACTTGCCTTTTGGGGTACTAACTGAAGTTGCCTCCCCCTTTATACGCCCCCCACACACACACACACCAGGCATGGGCCTTTTCCTGTCCCCATGCTACTCACAGAGACTGAGGGGGAAACTTTCTCCTCCTTCCACTGGACCCCAGCCACCCTTCCCCAACTTTAGGCCAAGCTCCCATCCACCTTCAGTTTGACAACCCCACCACACACATTTCCTACATCACTACTTGTAGTAACTAAGAATCAAAATTTAAGACTCAACCCTTTAGCTCATTTGTTCAGAGCCTTAGTTTCTGCTCTGCTTTTATGTGTTGATGGAGGGTCACAACCCTGGGGTAGGCTTGGAGCATGGATAGATCTGAACTGGGATGCCCAGTACAGGGAAAAAACACAAACACTAACATGCACACCAAGCTGGTAGGAGGAAGGATGATGGCGCCAGGCAGGATTCCAGCTTGGCAAGGTCTTCCCTTTCCTCCTCTCCCCCACCCTCTGCAGGAGCCAAGGGTTCCCATAATCAGATCCTCAAGCTCTCCTAGTTCTTCCTCTGGGTCCCAAGACCCTTAAATGTCAACCTCAGCAGGCACTTTAGGTGTGTGCCCAACCCAGCTTGGCCTGGGTCACAATGATTTTCAAGGAAGTTTCAACACTGGCAGCTCTCCTTGGGGGGAGTGTGCATTTGTGCTTGGAGGGGGGGGCAGTCATCAAGTTGTAGAGTGTGGATCTCCCAGAGAACAGGGTAAAGGGTCCAAACCACGATAGATTCAGAGGCACTGACTTCCAGGAAAAAGCTGACTCCTTGAGACATGAGGGCCAATTTGAAGACCCACAGTCCTGGGGATGGATAAAATGTTCTGAGGCCCTGCATAGACTACTTCTCCAGTCACATGGCTCTTCTTTTTCCTCCTGGCAGTTGAGGTTGAGCCTACCCTCACACCCCTAGGAAGACACAGGCTGTCCCTGGCAAGAGCTGACATGTGTTTTGGGGAGGTAATGATCTGAGCTGAGCCTTGGTCCTCTAACAAGTTCTCACTTTGGGGGTTAAGAATTACTACCTCAAACTCAATTCTATGCAAATCACTCTATTTTCCTAGCTTTCCTGGGTCTGCCACATTCTCTCTTCCACTAAGGCAAAGATGCCAGACCCAAGGGCCTAATTATCTGGCACCCACTAGGAGTACCTCCTGTCCCTCAGGAGAGCCAACCTTCCCTGGCAACAGGCAGGAAAAGTTGGAGGGGGGCAAGACAGGCCCCAATCAATCCCTCCCCTCAAACAGTGTCCCCAGAAATGGCTTGAGGGGTGGGTGTCACAGGATATGTAAAAGGAAACAGGCAGCAAAGTAGGGGGGGCAACCCAAAACAGCCAATCACAACTCTTTAATGACCTAAGGGGGGGGGTCAAAAGTCCAGAGTCACTTCTGATTGGCTAACACCCTGGAATTCTGGGAATTTCAGTCCCCCCCCAGCCCTTCCCCAATTAGC